GTGTGTGGGTGTGGGGTGTGCGGGCGGGGGCAGGTGCTAAGGAGCTTGCTTTTACTTTGAAGGAGCATGGATCTCTTTAAGGATTGTGAAGACTGGTATCATTAGATGAGAACTTTGAGAAATATGCTTGCCAGAAACATCATCTAATCAGGTGTGGAAGATAAATCCGCAGGCCAATGTTTCCCAGAGCTCTAATGCTACTGAGTTTTGATACTGTTTACAGGTCTCTCCTAGTCTGACTTCTTGATGGCACAACTGTCACCGAACAAGGGAGAGGGTCCAGTCCCAATCCCACCCCTAACTACACAGGCACATAAATGGGGTGAACCAGCTGTTGTTCACTGCTCCACCTGCTGGGTGTTGGAGGGATAAACCTAGGTGTCCTGCTCTTGAGACTCTGGTCAAGATTGAAAAGAGGTCTGCACAGACAGTGGAGAGGCAGGCAGGCAGGCGTCTGTATTTATTGATTAGCAAAATAGAAAGGAAAGAGAACTCTGGAGATCTCTCAGGACATGAGAGAGAGACTCTTGGGAAGCTTGGGGGCTGGGGATAGATGTGATTTTAGGACTGGAGTTTGAGAAAAAGGGAATTAAACTTTATTGGCTGAGAAAACAAGGAGTGGACTTGGCTAACGTCCAGTTGTTGCTAGTTGTGAGCACTGATGAGCTGCAGCGTGGGGGTCATGCGGGGCTCGTGGCCATGTCCAAGGTGAGCCCTGTGCTTGCAGCTCCAGTGTGAACCAGTCTGGTCTCAAGGTCTGTCACTCTCTTCTGGGTCTATAACTCCCTTTTCACATAGCGGCCAACTTGGTAAGTTGTGGATTGCTCAAAAATGGCAAAAAAAAAAAAAAAAAAAAAAAAAGTCAAGAACATTTATGAAAGCAAGTTTCTACAGCAAATCCAAGAGTCATCAAGTTTTTAATCTTTTGTATACCAACCCGTGGTAATAGTAAAAATGTGTTGAGACCTATCCTGTCCTTACCCCAGGACCCTTCTGTCTCAGTTCTGCAGAGTAGGTGTGTGTTTTCCCTTTCCTGACCTCGAAGGGCCTAGGTGCTGGAGTAAATCCATCATGGCTAAGGAGAGCCACTCCTTAAAAGCACCACTGAGAATATTGGGCAGTGATGGGTCCAGAAAGACTGGGGATGGAACTCAGAGCAGTTAGTGACTGATTATATTTAAGCATCTTTTCTCCTTCGCCATGCTCTGGACTCCTAAACTTAGGGACTGGTCTCTACCCATGGTCTGGGTAGTGTCCTCATTCCTTTGTGCACACAGCAAACCTCAGAAAAACTTGGTGCCAATTGAAAAGCAATGTTTAAAACTCGTATTAATCCTAGAAACCAGAGAGTACAGTATGTGTTTCATGTACTTGCATATTACCTTCTGAAAAGTTGACATCAGTTTATATTGCCTCCAGGGGAGTGCAGCGCTGCTCTTTGTCATGTCTTGTTAGTTCTGGAAACCATCTATCAGTTTATTTTCCCCCTAATCTTTTAGGATAAATATAAAATACTATGACTTTCCTTTGTATTTCACTGATCACTACTAAACTTGAGAATCTTTTCAGATATTTATTGTCCATGATTTGCTCAGATTGTGTAGCCTAGTTAAAAATTCAGATTTCCTTTTTCAGCCTTTGAGTTCTTACTTATTTTGGAAATCTTACTCAAGTGTGATAGCTTGCCTTTTAAAATCATCTGAAGCATTCTTTATAATATGAAAGTTCTAAGTTTTACTTGATACATCCTTTCCAAGATTACATTCTCCTCTATTTTCTCCTTGTGTAATATTTATACTCATGCTTTAATTTGGATTTTCAGTCCATCTTAAATTTATTTGGCATGTTAGTGAGGAACAGATCTAATTTCAGAAAACAATTTCCCCAAATTAAACTGCAACCAACAAATAGCTTGCCTGCCTGTGGTCAAAATCCCCCTCAGAAAATCATGCCTCATTTCAAGTGTTTAATGAGGCATTATGAAGAGAGAGCTAATGCAATGTCCCAGCACCTCTTTCTGTGAGTTGTAGCCAGAGAAAAAAAAATTGTTCTCGTTCAATCCCTTTAATTTATGTGAGATTCCATAGTTCTTAATTTCCACTTTAATACAGTGCTTTCTGCACAATAGTGATTAAATATGAAAAAGAGTCTAGAGGAAGGAATGTAAAGAGTATTAACACAAATTATGCCTTCAGAGTTAACCTGTTAGAAAAATGTCTGCTCCATTCAACTATATTTCACTGGAGTAAGAATCAGAAGAGGAATAAAGAAAAGCCTGTTTACTCACCATCCCGACAGAGTGTCTATGAGGTTTAAAAGCAATATATACAAACTATTCAGTCTAGTATCTGTACATAATAGGCCCTTGTGACTGGTAACCAGAAAATATTTTTATTTTAGCTATTTAGCAGAAGGGAAGGCAGTCTTCCCTAAGTTTTTGAGTTTCCATGTTCCATGTTTGAAATAAGAGTGTGAATACCCTAAGAGAGTCTCAGTTTTAAAGCTTTAACAAGGTTAACACCACAAGCTAAAAAAAAAAATGTAATTGGACTTCACTATCCATTCACATTTGTGGCTCTGCCTAAAATGTGATATAAATTCACAAGAAATATATCGACATTAATGGGTATTATTCAAATCACTTATTTTACTTCAATTTTAGCTTGTATATAAAGTATCCTAAATGAGGACAAAAACAAGGACCAACCTAATTTATACGATACTATGACTTTAAAAATCATATGTTAGGATAAATCAACAGAATAGATATGAAGTGGCTGGAAAACATCTTTGATGTGGTTGGCATTTAAACCCTTTGGGCACGAGGAACCACTGACGCGGCACTTTAAGGGGTTTTGATTTTATAGGCTCCTCGGCCCAGGAGTTTTTAAAAAATACAAACAGTGATGTGGCTTTAGAGATAAGACAGGCATCAGGCTGTCACTATGAAGCAGCTTTGCTTTTAAATGACCCTTTCCAAGGTTTGAATTATAATCTAGTGGAAGAAAAGCTTTGGATTTGCTGGCAAAGATGAAAGATGCTCAGAAGCTATTACCTTAAAATAGAAATTGATAGATAAATAGGCTGTGCAAGTTTAGATTCTGACCTAAAGGGAAGTGGAAAATTGAGTTGAGATAATTACCTTGTTACTTGAGGCAAAGTTAAAGTTCACCTTTACAAGAGTCAGATCATTAATCCAAAGCATAGCTTCTCATTCACTTACATCATAAGGAGTTAAGAGCTTTAGTAAAATTGCCTACAAATTAAAATATTTTAAATAAATCTAAAGTTTCATTTAAAATATGCAGAAAACTTTCATTTGCCTCTGGCATTCTGATCAAAGAAACAAGAAAGGAAAATATAGAAATTAAAAGAGATCATTGCAAATTAAATGACTTTATTCTTTATAGCCTGTATCTATTACATCTAAATCATAACAAGCAAAGACCAAACTAATTTATAAAATGCTGTGATTTTAAATAGCTTATGTTCAGAATGAGCATAATCTTAGGCAGCTAGCCAAAATCTAGTTCTTATCATTAAGAAATTCCTACTTTAAGTTTTCAGGGATAATTGCTCCATAATTGCTACTTATTGATCTCAGAGCAGGAGCATATATTGCCATGGAAGCCTAATTCCCCATTTAGTGTGTGGGTCACAGTCACTGCCTTACCCAGTCTTGACTTAGACAAAGCAACTAAAAGACAGTGCTAGTAGGTATTCATAACCCCATTTAGGAAATACTACAGGGCTACGGGGGCATCATTAATCCCTCCAGGAGTAGCCCACGAAGGATTTTCTGTCTCAGCAGCTTGAGAGAGGATACGGAGGGAAGCCTGAGGGCAGAAAGGAACTGGACTGAGCAGTAATATACAATTTACCCGGTTCAGTCATTCTTCTCTGCATGCAGCTTCTAAAGTATATTATTTTCAAATCAGATCTAAATCAGCCAAGTAAATAGTGAAACAGGCAGGAAGCTAAATGATTAAATTAAAACACATGATTTGGATTTCATTATCCATGCCTTTTAGAACAAATTATAATTTAGTAAAGAAAAAAAAGCAGCAACATTTCAAAAGTGGTCTCGTGTTCAACTAACATTGTGAGAGCAGACACAATCTTTGAAAGTGATGTTCTCTAAGAGTATAAAGATAACATATAATAACTAGCATATGTCTCCAAAGTATATTTTCTAATTTCAGTTATTAAAAGGTGCTAAAGTTCAGTTGAAATCATATATAATGAAGGACATGGAATTTTACTTATTATTTTTATATTATTTATGAGGTAACATTGAGTACAAAATTCTATGTTTTAAGGGTGTGGGTTTACCCCTAAAAATGGATGTTATCACTCCACACCCACCACCAAAGCACCAATTATCTTCCGCTATAGTCTACTATAGTCCTTATTGCTTTGCTGCCATCCCACCCCCTATTCACCTGCCCTTTCTGGAAGCCTCAGTTCTGCTGTCAGATTACAAAGGTTTGTTTTACTTTGCTTTTGTTTATTCCTTTGTTACAATGCCAATGGTTTAGCATTTTTTACAGCAGCATAATACTCCATTGTACATATCTATTATATCTCCATTCATTTGTTTTCAGACACTTAGGTTGTTCCCATAACTTGGGGTTTTAAATAGTATTGCAATTAACATAGAGAACTTTTGTCCCTTTAGAGTTTTTGCATTCTTTGGATAAATACCAAAGCGTGAAATTACTGGATCATATAGATCTACTTTCAATATTTTTATCTGCATACTCTTTTTTAAAGAGGTAGACTAGTCTATACACTCAGCAACAGTGCACAAGTGTTTCTTTTTCTCCAGTCCCTCACCAACATTTGCTTTTTCTGGTCTTACTGATATAGGTCATTCTCACAGGTGTGGGGTGGTTTAGAACTCTGTTTTAATGTGTGAACCTGACTTGAATATATGCTTACTTTCAAAAGCGTTGCAGTTTTTGATAAGGGGAGCCCTGCTGTCATCTGTTCTCTTCCAGGAGATTATGTGGTTATGTCTGTCTACTTTGACCTGAGCAGAAGAATGGGATACTTTACCATCCAGACCTACATCCCCTGTACGCTCATTGTTGTCCTGTCCTGGGTGTCTTTCTGGATCAATAAGGATGCTGTTCCAGCCAGAACTTCTTTAGGTAAGACATATTCCTTTTACTGAATTACCCAAGTACCCAATACAAGTAATCTGCATTCCTTTTCTAAATTGATTTGCTTTTAAGTCCAGTCAGCAATTACATAGAAATGCCATTGGTTTCATTTTAAAGAAAATTAACATACTCAAAAGTAAAAATAGTTTGAAGTTTTCTAGTTCTGTTTAGTTACTTCACTCAACTTTCTTTAGTAACTTTTCTTAATATAGTTACATTAATTAGGGGGGGAAACCAATTTCTAATTTCAACAGATTTTTGTTTTGATCCCTGGGCAGTAGATGCTGGAACCACTCCCACCCACTTACGAGAGCTGACTCTTTATCCTTTGCCAAGCTTACGTTCAGTAATCTGACATTGGTAGCTTGAACTCAGAGAGGTGAAAGTATTAAGCCCACAGATATGGCCAACCTAAAAACCAGGGTTGCCTCTTAGAGTCAACTGTCACACATTTCCCAGCTCAGCACTTGCTGCTGTTTAATTCCAGCAGGCCTAGTTATCATGGTGACATCTGGAGACATACACACACGCTAAGGGCCATGGAAGAGCCTCTGTAAGCAATCTCCTTGGAAAAACACAATTACCTATGAAATATTGGAAGCCCCTCTCCCTAGTTTTAGGATTATTTCCAGTTTGCGTAATCTGTTATAGATGGTAATACATAATTTTGATTTTTATAATTTTTTCCTCACATGAAGAAGGCTCACATACATTGTAACAAAGCCACAGACTCATATGGACATGGCAGCCCAGGTCCCTGAAAAATTTTTCTAAGAATCTAAGAAAAAAGCTATTGAAAAGGGGAATATAAAACCACATTATAAGAACTTGAACCACATCTTGTGCTCACTCTTCAACTAGTGAAGAAGTGTCATGCAGTAGTAGTTAAGAATTTTAAGATTCTGAAGTCCAGCCAATCTGGACATCACCCACGTGTATAGAATACTTTGGAAATGCCCTTTAGCTCTAAAAATCAGTTCCCTTACATGTAAAAAAGATGTCATTTTCTTTGCCCAACTTACAGGGTTTTATTAGATCAAATAAGGCATTTTAAACGATACAGAACCCCATAAGACCTCAGAAATGTTAGCAACTACTGTCGTTTTCTGTGAAAATGATCTATATGAGGCCATGAAAACTGAGGGTTAAAGCAATTATTGGATGAAAAAACATCATTTGCATATTTGTCCTCTTCTAAACCTATTTCAGTCTCCCATCTGTTTCAAAGTTTGTTTTTTTTTTTCCTGTTACATGCAGTACTTCATGTTACAAGTCCTGTTTACACTATGCTGTCACCACATGCTGAAACAAACCCAAAATATGTTGAGCATATTACTTGAGGACTCTTCTTCAGCACTGGGAGCAGACTGCACCATATCCCTGCCTCACATTGGGATGAAAATGTCTCTCTCATTACCAGCACCCTTCCTGCCACAGGGCTGGTACCTCAGTGATCATCCAGTTGATGTGTGTCCTTACAATGGATGGAACAAACGCTTGGGTGCATTTTAAACTACCCATCCCAGAAAAACTTTAAGGAAAAGGTTTCAAATCCACCTCTCCTTTCTGAAGTCTAGACTCCTGCTGGCCAGATCCCCTCCTCTGGCTATCGATAGCTCATTTCAACCACTCAGTAAATGAGTATCCACTGGCAGGAGACAGGTGTGGGAGCAGGGGTCGAGGGAAGTGAGTGATGGTTGAGGACGGAGGAAGTGCCTGAGCAAAGAGCAGGTAGGGGCTTCTATTTGTTGACTGTTTATGTGAGGCATGTTCAATACAGTCCCCAAGTCTTCTCCCCTTCACAACAAATGCATGTAAAAGTTGTGATGCTAATACACATTTTCATCATATTATTTAGAGCCACAAAGCAGAGGACCTACAAGGTTAAATGACCTACACAAGGCCACACAGCCAGTTGGTAGTGCAGCTGCAGCTAAGCTCATAACACCTAGATTTGCTGGCAATGAGACCTTGTGGAAGGCCAGTTGTGGCAAATGTAGGGAAATGAGCTGAGCCAGTTTCTCTAAACTGCCTTGAGTCCTGTGACCTTTTCCAGTGATGAAAGCATAAGTTAAACCAGATGACCTTAAATACCTGTGGGCTTTTAAGTCCATTGCCACAGAACAGTTACAGCCAAGTGGTTTGATGAGTGAGACACACAGACCCACACAACTCAGAGACTGTTTCCCGAGCTCAGATGCCCAAGATCATGGGGAACAGTCACCTAGAAACTCATGCTACTTGCATACAGATCTATTTTCTCTATTATCAGGTGATATTGGTTAATCATAATATAATGACAGTGGGTAAAACAATGAAAATGCCAATTGGCATTTTTCATCCAAGCACTGTGAGGCGTGGTAACGTGCCCGCGGAGCTTACTACAGGAATGCATAAAAGGATTGGGTATTTTTCATCTATCCCAGGTAACAGACTTTTCTTTGCTTACTAAAAACTGGACTTAAAAAATCACATCAATCTATCTTGTTGGTTGGTAGATCAGTTAAAACTACTAGTCCAGTCTGCATTGTTCTTACCTGTGGCTCCAGTAAGAAACATGAAGCTATTACTGAAACAATTCTTTGATTCTGTTTGTACATGACTGGGAACTACCAGGTAGCCTAAAAAAAATAACTTTCTAATTCACTAGGTGTAGTGTTTATCTTACATGTCAGACATGCCAGATGTTCATAAGTGAACTTATGGCATCTACTATATAAATATTGACATTTTCACTTTTCATAGGTTAAGTGTGGCTTGAGGCCTGAATGTTCAGTAAAGCCCAAGATACCAACTTGGATTTTAAATTCCTACACAAAAGTATGGGCTATAATTAAGGACAATCAAGAATTACATACATTAATTAGTATGTAGACAACCTATATGAAGCTTTATAAGTTTGAGAACCAGATCTATCTTCTCTATTATCAGTGAGACTACTAGAAATGGACACTATATGAGTATTATTTAACCTTAGTGAAAAACCTATGGGGTTCTCAGCTATAAACCTCCCCCATTTATTAATGAGAAACTTGATCATTTCTAGAACATTCTACCATGACAATATGGTGTACCCCTGCTCTTACTCATGGCTGGACATAGAACCAGTTTTTTTCCTCAAGTATGAAACCAAAATGAAACAACTGCTATAAAAATTCATAGAGAATGCACATGAAGCGCCTACAGGGTGCTTCCCATGGCAGTTCTCAATAAATATTAGTAATGATATTACTTTTGAGATACTTATTTCCACCCTATAATAGCTTTTAAAGAATTCATTGATCAAACTTGTCACTCACACATGCCTCTCTTGCCTCCTCTTGCGCCTCTCAATGGCTTCTCTGTGCACACTGAAAAAGGAAAAAAAAAAAAAAGCTTTTTTCCTTCTTTGCAAGATTTACTTCTATTGTATCCGTCATAACCCTCCCCTCCCCAGATTTCAGGCATTTGAAAAGTTCAAAAACAGACCAGGCTTGCCTTGCTCAAAACCCTCCCTTAATTTACTTAATCTGCAAATAGTGAAAAAAAAAAAAATTTGCTTTCCTTTAATTTTTAACACTTAAACATCTCCTCAAAGAGGTCTTTCCTCAACATTCCACTGCACTAATTTCTTTCTCACCATGACTTGTAATTACACATATCTCTATATCCTTGAGTCATAGTATTCTGTATCATCAGAGGTTCATAAGGGCAGGGCCTCTGTCCAGTCTATTTCTCAACATGTCTCCCAGGCTTGTCACTATAGCAGATGCATGGTAGGAGGGAATGTTTGTGGACTCATCTTTCGCCTCCTTTCTTGGTACTAAGGTTGCTTATCAAAAGTCACAAAGGCAAGTCTAGTTTAGGTAGTTACTCAGTTACCTCCCACTGATGTAGTCACATGGCCTGTTGTATATTGCCTCTCCCCAGGTATCACCACCGTGCTGACAATGACCACCCTTAGCACCATCGCCCGGAAGTCGCTCCCCAAGGTGTCCTATGTCACAGCGATGGATCTCTTTGTATCAGTTTGTTTCATCTTTGTCTTCTCTGCTCTGGTGGAGTATGGCACCCTGCATTACTTTGTCAGCAACCGGAAACCCAGCAAGGACAAAGACAAAAAGAAGAAAAACCCTGTATGTATCATTTCTTGTTGGGAGTTTTGAAATGTTGCAGAAAGGCCACCTGGTTTTGTTTGTTTGGTCCTGCTTAGCCTCTCTGCAGCTAAATACTTTGGGCTCCAAGGTAACAGCAGAATTTGTGAGTTTGACCAAGCCCTGATAGATTCATTGTGTTTGCTAGGTACTTGGGAGAGACCTGATCAGATTCTTGCTCTCCATTTTATGGGGAGGGTAACCATGGCTTAGAAATGCATTCATTCTAGGTGCTATTATTTTAGGTTCCATCACAGCTCATATTTCTGCCCCCTTTAATATCTTTAAATTAGGTAGTGTGTTTCAAATTAAACTTTTCATCCAAGGCTTTTCTCTGGGATGCCATGAGGTTCACCACACTTTTATAGTTAACTTCATAATTAACTTCATAGCTGCGTTGTGAACAGAGGACTTTTATTGGTTTTATACTCAAAATATACCTGAAATGGCTCATCTATTGTTTGGCCAAGTTAATTAGCCTTCTTTTGTCTTCATTTTTTCACATATAAAATAAGTATTACATATGTTAATGGAGGTAAACTGTATTACAAAGCACCTTTGGCTTTAATACTTGATGGTGATGGCTGATAATGATTTATACAGTTACCAGCCTGCATTGCTTCAGTGATTTGGAATCAGGTAGGAGGACTCTACCCTGCCACCAAACTTTAGAGATGAAGAGGCACAAATGTAAATCTCTAAAAATATATATATTTTTTTAAATTATGGATGTTGAGAACATGTAGCTGCTCATTTAACCAGCTTAAACACAGTGTCCAGATCACAGGAAGCATTATGAAAGTTAAATCCATTCCTTTCCATGACTGTGACAATGGAGTTTACCGCACCCTGCTGAATTTATACCATTTTCCTGGTCTTCTGCTCTAAGGGCCACGAGAGTCAGAAGAGTGGCTAGCTACCTGACCTGTGGACTTCAGGGTGGGGATTGGGGTGTTGAGTTATAATGAGGGAATCTAGCTCCTTCTAGATTATATCCTGATGTATCACCAGGAACTCAGGGGAAATGCTACAAGTGGCATGTGTTTGAATGCAGGACTTTATAATAGGTAAAAAGAACATCTACTGACCAGGGTGGGGCTCACCTCTACAAAATTTCCCCGCATATAGGAAACTTGACTGCATAATTTGTGGTAGTGGGTGATTGCCCACTACTGTTCACGATTTCCCCTAAGGGAAAAAAAAAAGCATCATTATTTGTGATGGTTAATATAAGAGTGTTTCTCTTTCCTGTCCCAAATATTCACTGGCTTCATGCAGACCTTTTCTTCCCTGGCTTGTCTGCCTTTCCCTTGTCTCTATCCTTGTTTTATTTTCCCTGTTGTCTTGCTGTTTTCTCCCCTTCTTTTACTTTCCATTTCATTTTCTCCCCCCAAAAGATGGCTCTATTGACACTAATGTTATGACCTGCTGGCAGTAACAGGGATGTGAGGACTGGCTTTCAGACAGGTGTTAAGAGTCCTTTGACAGAAGCCTTTCCGCCCTAACAGTTGTGTCATTGCAGAGTGGATTCTGTTCTAGAAACTGAAGTATTAGGATTTTTGAGCCTGGGTCATGAAGATGGTAGGAAAAGGCAGAGGGACAAGGGTTAAAGAAACTGAAGAAAAGAAGTTACCTGAGAATGGCATTTATTTCCCCCTCTAAGCCAATTAGGTGATTTATGAGAACTCAGCTAGCACCCAAGACGGGAGGCTGGAACTTGAAATGTTATTTTCTCATTTAATATGCCCTTTGGTTGCTCATGTCAAGACTCACCTATTAAGGTTTCCTTGGTAATTAGAAAATAAAAACAGCATTTCTAGACAGGAAACTAGGCACGGGAGGCTTCTTCACAACTGAGCAGCATTGGTTGTGGCCACTAGATAAATGCGGATTAATTTATTGAGGATTTTACTTGCAATCACCGAATTCCATTTTTCAACTTCAGGCATATACTTTATTATAAGAATTTTCCTTCTGTGTTTATAATTTCAGTTCATTTCACTTACTATTTTTCAAAATGTATTTTTAATTTATCTTATTTTGTCTCTTTTTTTTCCTTTCTTTTTTCCCCTTCTTTTGATTAAAAAAAATGCGATTCTCTTTTCTGTCTACAAACCCAAAGCTTCTTCGGATGTTTTCCTTCAAGGTATAATGTTTTTGGAATGGAAATTCACTGCATGCAATTGCTAAAATTAACTATTAACGCTTACATGGTATTTTATTTTTTTTATGAACAGACATTAAGCATTCTACTAGATAACACATTTAAGATGGAGAAAGTTCTATAGATTTCTAGAGTTGATTCAAAAAACATACACTAACTTACACAAGTTTTGACCTTACATGAAGTTAAAAAGCTATATTCTCCATGAATTGTCAGTAGCTAACACAACCTTTTTTCTGCATTAGAAGTCAAACTTACCCTTTTCTTAGATGAAAACAATATCCATTTTCAGTGGCAGCACCTATTTGCCATATATTCCATTTTAAAGCTAAAACTTAACTCTGTAAATGTTAATTCAAACCATGGTTATTTTTTGAAAAATAAATTTAATACTTTCCATTAGTCAGACCTCTGTCAGTTCCTTCCAGGCTAATCCAGGGCCATTTCACTCCAGCATGCAACACTGAAATGAAATTTCTGTTCCTAAATCCTGATTCACATACACTAGGATTTGTAGTTACATTATCTTAATATTAGTATATTCAAATTAAAATTAAATAATTGGTGCAAATGAGATTAGCCTTCAGTTAATTAGCATTTCGTCTCAAGATTTAAGAAGAGGTGGACAGGTAATGCCATCCTTCTTTGCATTTCCACTCACATATAGGTAACTACAACATTGCTCACATTCTGAAACTACCAGATAATGAATGTTAGATGAAGAACTACATTCCTTTAAAACAAGTCATGCCACTGCGGTATAAACTCAGAAAACGTCTATATTTTTATGTTATTTTAACATTTTCTATTACTAGCATTTAATACCTTTGCTCAGTGTAATGGGTATTTGCCTATAGGTAAGCATGACACAAATTTTGATTTCGAAATTAATCCATTTTCAGTTCTGTTCCACTCACATGCAGCACCATTAAATGCCTTCATGTAACCAACTTCACATCTAATATTTACTAGAATAATATTCCATGTAGCTGTTTGATTTAAATCTTTAAACTTTGAGTTCTTTTGGTGTTCAATCTTCTTGCTATAGCTATTAGCTTGATGGTATTATTTTCAGCTGCACTGCTTAAGCTCAAAATTTGAACACTGCAAATGCTATCCTTCTAAGTTCAATTTTACCATTGTAGATCATGATGTCATAGCAACTTCCTGAGTACCATTTTCAGAGTCATCATTCACATTGGAGACATTGTGGAGAAACAGTTTAGGGCTGATCATGTGTGACTAACTGGGGTCTCTCCTTCCTTACCTGTGTCTCAGGCCCCAACCATTGATATCCGCCCAAGATCAGCCACCATTCAAATGAACAATGCCACACACCTTCAAGAGCGAGATGAAGAATACGGGTACGAGTGTCTTGACGGCAAGGACTGTGCCAGTTTCTTCTGCTGTTTTGAAGATTGCAGAACAGGAGCCTGGAGACATGGGAGGATACATATCCGCATTGCCAAAATGGACTCATATGCACGTATCTTCTTCCCCACTGCCTTCTGCTTGTTCAATCTGGTTTACTGGGTTTCCTACCTTTACCTGTGAAAAGGTATGGGTTTCATCAATATATGGGGGTCTTATTCGCTAAATCTTATAGAGAGTGATGTCCTTTCTAAGTCCACTGAATTCATCCTCTTTGTAGTTTCTAATGATCAGAATCTGTTTCTATGTTCTAACATGGTAAAGTGTAATAATGTCTTACTGTTTGTGCCCGACTCTCCGGTGGGAAGTATAATTTGAACTGTAATGTTTGCTGTGTTTCAAACCTGCAAGGTGAAGCTAAATTAGAGCAAGAACATTGAAACTAAACAAGATATTATCTCAATTGCTGTAGCTGAAAACAGCCATGACTGTTTATAGTGGTGGCGTCCTTACTCAATTCAAAATACAATTAGATGCAAAAGATCTGAAACTATATCTTATGTTCATTTGGAGTCAGATTGTGGTAACTTTGCTCCCAATAGGCTATCTCCCTCATTTGAGAAAAATCACAGCTCACTTTCACTATAAGAGGCTAGTCTAGAAATCGACTACACCTATATATAACCCAAGAAAATTTCCTCCACACCACATGTACAATGATGTAAATATTCCATAACGTAGAATGCTTCAAGTTTAATGCATGCATCTCCTTAGAGCCAAAATAAATGGATTGGCGTTAACATCATAAAGTATTGTCTGTTATTCTGTGTCTTTGGACTACAAAAGAATCATGACTGCGATTATAAGGATCTGGGTTTGGAACTGGAGAGAGGAAGTTCCTCTATTTTCTTCCTCATGCACGATGATTAAAACAGCATTTTTTCCTTTGTATGACATATTCAAACACTATAGACTGAATAATTGACACTTGCCACCTCTAAATATGCCCAGTTTCATTGAATATAAAGTAACTATATGTGCTTGCTGCTGTTTTTTCTTCCTTTTAGGATAGAGCATAACAGAACTTTCTCTCCATCACAAGATCTGCTTTTAGTGCTTGTGAGTGCCTTGTGGGCAGAACAATTGTTTTTTCCTGGATGGGTCCTCAGCACCTTAGATAGTGCCTAGCACATAGCTGGTGCTCAATAAATAGGGTTTGAAGTAAAATGGCTTCATATTTTTCTGATGACTGTTTCTGCACTGGTCTGGAACCAGTTAGTCATCTTTTCCCATAAGCATTGTTAAGTAATATTTGATCTTGCAGGAAAAAAAAAAGGATCCAAAGAACTTTGGATATTTATGTTCATTATCAAAAACTTGTCTGAGCCATAGTCTCTCCTCCTTTTAAAATAATAGTCATGTCCTACATTTGTATACAGAAATGGTCTGCCAAGGCACAGAGTTTGTGCATTATTTTTCCAGGTTTGGGACCGAGTGAGCCCTGAACCATACACGATTCTGATTGAGGACATATGACAGACTTAAAGTAGGATTCATACCAGACTGGCATTCAAAATGTAGTATTCTGTGTTCTGTGGGGGAAAAAATGCACCGAAGAAAAAAATCACTTACAAGGAAGTTGAGCCTATGACTGTGGCCTCATTCACCTTTACTGTAATCACATAAAGTGGTCATCCCAGACTTCAAATACGATGAGTTGAGCTCCATCTTCATGTACTCATCCTGAATCCTTATTTTTCTGAAATATCATCACTTGTCTATACTTCTGTATGGCAATCATTGCTCCAGTTAGAATTCAGTCATAGTTCGTGTAACTTTATAGATAACCTGAAAAAAAAAAAAGTAGTAAAGAAGAGAGAATTGCTTTGATAATAGAAAAACATGTAAAGTCATCATCAAGTCATCTGGGTAAATCTTGAAAACACATTTAGCTGCCAATTTTACAAACCTTTAATATATCAGTGCTCTAGTATATAACCTCAAACACATGTAAATAGAATTATTTTCTTGTTTTGAAATGTTAATATAATAAATGTTGACTCTTTGGGAGAGTTGATGGCAAATTTTCACTGGTGAGAAACATGTTACTATTGTCAACTTGAAATGTACTCCTTAATGGGGACACCCCAAAAAGCTAGCTTTCCAATGTGTGCATAGTATTGGCAAATGAATATATATATATATATTATATATAATCTGATTCTTAATTATCAGCTGCTCCCTGTTTGTGTGTTTGAAACCTTTTCACAAAGGGAACTGCCTAACACGTGGACTTTTACAATAAAAATGCTGCATTCTAATCCATGGTGGCATGTCAGCGGTCTGGTTGAACTTGTTTGTTTTAATGATCGTGACCCCTCTTTCCTGACTCATGCCTTAATATCACCTTCCTTTTTGTGAGCTTTATTTGTGAGTCTGTGACAGGACTGGTGTGGTGATACTCCTCTGTTCAAAAGAGTTAAGAGATACATTTGGGGTGTGGTGTGGAGACAGAAGGCAGAAATGTCACAAAGTAAGTAAAGCTTAAACCTTCTGTGCCTCAAAAAGGTGTGGTGTGGTTAACCATATGGACCCTGGTGTCAGACATAATTGGCATCCCATTTTACCTGTTTTTGACAATTGTCAACTCGGCCTTGGTAAGCCTCCATTTTATCAGCTATAAATTAGGCACAATAATGCCGCCTCATGCCGGAACCTTCCACAGAGTCAAAGGTACTTCTGTCACCTCCAAGGCCTACAGTGCTCTGCTCTGCGTCCTCCCCCCATGTAATCAGCTCTAAAATAATCAAGCAGGAGTCATACAGACCTTAATGTGACTCTGCATCATGTTCTCTGTTTCAGACTATCTGCCCTGCAAACTCCTTTGTAGGTTGAAAATAGTCTGTTGGGGGGAAAAAAAATCACACATTAGTTATTTTTGAGGCCCAAGGACCTTACTTTGTTCCCCCAACACTTAAAAACACAGGGAGTCATGCCCCAGGCACTGTGTTATATGTTCTTGAAGTCCCTTGAAATTCTCAAAAGAATTAAGGAGCATAATCCTTCACAAACAGCTGCCCTAACCTTCCTGTCCCTGTCATTCTTGGGGCCCCTCATGGCTTCCTGCATCCAATTTAAACAGCTATTTCTCACCTTCCAGACATGTTAAAAAAATAGTTTTCACTTTGGTCTTGTCTGCTGTCTAACTCAATGCCCTTTAGCCGAGAGCATATTCATTGTATGGGCTCCATCTCTAAAAATCTCGATATTATTCTGAGTAGTAGCAATGAATTTTGTCTGTGACGAAGGTCAAATTAAATTAACCAAATGATGCAGTCTTTGGGGATCATGTCAAAAATTGCTGTCTCTATGCTTTGTCACTATTAATTTTTTCAAATGTGTAGGAGAAAGGGAGAGTGACCTAAACCAATAACTCGGCTCTATTTTTTAACAAGTGTTCAACTGCCAAAGGTCACATAGCCAGTTAATGGCAAACTTTGGGATAGCCATCGAAGCGTTACTTTTCCTGCTATGCCTCATAGTTTCAGGATCTGAAAGTGAAATTCTGGAATACTATATCTTTCTGTTAATGCATTAGGCTCTGCCAAACTTGAGACTGCCTTCTTTCTTTGATCTTGACCTTGCTCCGATTCCTTTAATTCCAATGAGAGAAATTTTAGCATACCTAGCAACAGAGATAAGTTGGATTTTTCCTTCATTAGCATTCTCTTTTAAATAAGATGACCAATCAGTACTCAATGTTACAACCCACTGCTTTCAGAATTCTGTTTGAAATAAAGGGAACTGCAATAATTTAAAGAAAATCCCAGACCCAAAATTGACCTTTGTCCTTTAGGGATTAGGGCATCTGAGAATCCAAAAGTTCCCTAGCCTCTGGCCTCAGTATCTCTACCATGTCAGGAAAGTAGTGGGAGTGTGCTATCATCACTCATTCTGAGGTTAGAAATGATAGACCAATAGCCAAGTCTATTTTTTTCTTTTAAACTTTAAATTTTTTTGACATTCTTGGGATAATCAAAAAGAGTTTTCCCTAATTATAGTTTGTATAACAAAATGAAAAAAACATGGGTTCTGCTGCAGATTACCAAGGTTTAATTCCTGGCCATGTCAAGACCTATGATCCAACTCCTCCGCTTTAGTTTCCTCATCTGAAAAATGAGGATAACAATGGTTTGTAACTCAGCTGTTACAAGGAATGAGTTAATACCGTTGGATGGTAGCAATTTTCCTCAGCTCAGATATTCAGGGTCAGAAAGAGATGGCTTACAAATCTCATGACCTAGCCTGCTTAAGAATAGTTACCATGTCTGAGAATTCATTCCATTACAATAGAAAAAAAAAAAAAAATCCTGGGGTCGGGATAGAGACTTCAAGCCACACCTAAGGAATCTTACTATCTTGCTGAGATTCTACGTCTCCTATGCAATGAGGGCATGTGGCCCATTTGCTCGGACATACCTTAGCTCTATGGCTTCTCTGCTGTCTGTCATGGTCAACACTGATAGCCATTTAATGTTCAGGCTCTGCTAAGTATGTTGTATCTCCACCCAACTCTTCTGATGCATTTGTCCTATTTCCTCTGTGAGATTCTTTAAAGGAATACCAGAGTCCCAGAGTTCTTGCTCTGTTCAACATTTTGCTAATTAAAGATTCTACCTACTTCATGATCTCTTTCCAGTTTGACTAAAGTGCAATATGCTATTCTTCCAGTACTTGACCTGAATTTTGAGCAGCTTAATTCTAATGTTACCTCAGCTAAGTACTTAATTTTATCCAATCCTCTTAGTAAACAAATTTTAAATGAACAATTCCATGAAAAAATACGATATAAATAATTCACTATCCATTTGCATCCTAAATAAGGTTGTTTATTTACTGTCTATCTCCCTGAGATAGAAATTTAACTTACCTTTCTCTGCCTGTCTTTCTAGTTTTTTCTATTATTTGTGTTTTCTGTGAGTCTAGAATAAGACCTTCATCATAGATGTTTTGATTCAGCATCTAAAAATTTAATTCCACATAAAGCCTATAGTAAATATATATTGCAAGCTACATATAGTGCAGTGTGAGAACAAGAAATCAATTTGAGGGCTTTCTCTGCTCCAAAGTGCCCTTAATATGATAGCAGAGTCAGATAATAACACAAATATCTATAATGGAGTTTCATAAAACTATCCTTAGGTCGATGAAATCATGATTCCAACTGTGGGTGAAAACAGAAAAGATTTTTCTCTGTAATACAAACTGTCTACCATATGTGAGGAGGTCCCATTACTGCTGTAAAATGTTCTTTCTGACAACTAACAAAAACCCTGTAGAAAATTTGAAAACTAAGAAAAAGCACAAAGAATATATATTATCCTTCATCCACTTGCAAGAGTTAACCACTAAATGCATAATTTTTTCTCCTTTTTCCTCTCTATAAGCTGATGGATGATAGACTCAATGGATATTTAGATAAGTTGGTAGCTACAGTTGTGCTTACAGATGCAGAGATGCTTTGTAGTCTCATATTTTCATGTAGCTATGCCAGTGCATGTGTGACACTGACATTTTCTGGCATTCTATTCTATCATACAGCTCTCACTGTAATTTCTTTAGTAAGTCCCTATTCTGAAATTGTGCACTATTTGTTGTTATAGATAATACAGTTAACATCTATATCTATATATCTACATATATAAGGCTTTACAAGTATCTCCCACTATTTACTAGAATAAATCCCTAAAATTGACTTTGCTAAATAAAAAGATAATAGCATTTAAGAAATTCCAGTCCTGGCAAAACAAACAGATAATACACTCAAAGGGATAAATGAAGAAAAAATAATGAAGGTGTTATTTACAAAGATGTAAGTAAGGTTAAGGTCCAACAATAAAAAGAATGTGTATTACCATGCGAATAACAAGAGTAAAGTCATGATCATCTGAATTATCAATAGTTTCCTGTGGCCAGTGTAGCAAACTAACACAAACAGTGACAGAACATAATAGCAAGATGGAAAAATTACTACCTAAAGTAAAAGTCCCTAAGTTCCTTCTGGAGGCTCTATGGAAGTATTTGTGCACTTTCTCTAGGTCTGAGAAGCTTCCTGCATTCCCTGACTGTTGGCCCTCTTCTATTTTTAAAGCCAGCAGCCACAATCCAACCTGTTTCCTTTATCAAGTCATTGTCTCTGGTTCTCACTTCCTTCCTCCCAGTTATAAGGACCCAAGTAATCCAAAATCATCTGCTCGTCTCCAACTCCTTAACATTATCACAGCTGCAAAGTTACTTTACCATGTAAGATATCCAATTCACAGGTTCCAGCCATTAGAATATGGATGCTTGCATAAGAGGAACAAGGAAGAGGACTTCCTGGTGGTGCAAGGGGTTAAGACACAACCTATGAAGCTGTTCGCAGTCTCTGCAGCACAAGGCCAGTGAGCAACCCACATGGCGCAGCAGACCTCTCCTGTCTTGCCCACTTGCTCCCCTCAGCAGTGTATTTCAGTCAGTCTGACTGTTCTGTTCCCCACTCTGTCTCTGGTGAATCCTCTCACCCCCCACACCTCTGGCCTGTATCCAAGTTCTTGTATGTATTAAATAAATAAATCTTAAAAAAAAAAAAAAAGAGGAACAAGGAAGAGCAACCTCTGAGCCAATGGGTGGCTCTCATAGCCAACTTGATGGTAGAAGGTGGATTTTTTCTGAACTTCAGCCCCTAACATCCTGAGTGGAGTCTGATGGGAATAGAGGTAGGGCTGGGGGTTCTGAAGTTAGATTGCTGGCAAGGAGGGTGTCCTTGGAAATGCTACCAGCTTACCACATGCAACTTTGGTTTAGATCTCAGTGTCTGCTCAGCAGATGCTATTTAGGGTAGGACAGATAGCATCTGCCACATGCTAGCCATAAATTCATTTCCATATCCTCTTCCTCTCCTTCCTTCTCCTCCTCCTCCATCATTTCTCACTCACTATGTAAAAATTCTGTTACTATTTGTTCCTGCGCGTCTGCTTTTGTGGCTCACATTCTTAAATGCACAGGCGAGGACCCACCAACAAGGTCATCTACTGTCCCCAAGTTTGCTCCATTTCATTAGTGCTGAAAGTACAAGAGGAAGGAGCATAAATGGAATCCAGAAAATTCTACAGAAGACCCCTCAAAAGGAATTGTGGG